CCAGAAGTTCCTGGAAATGTCAACCATTTTCAGCTTCTGTTCTGGTGTCAGCATTCTTGGGACTCATCGTGCAGACAAACTTGCTCATCCTCAAAATCTCAGTTAAAACCGTATGGACCGAACCATAACTAATACCTATGGACTTAGCTATATACTAAAACGTCTGTCATCCAAATGCATAAGGTGAGTGGCTTCAACTTGCTCATCAGTATTTGAGGTTTTCGATTGACCTGAGCGAGGGTCTTTTATGCTGTTTCTGTCCCACTTGAAATCCGCAGACCTCTTCTTCAGTTGCATAGGAAGTGGAGTCCTCAGCAAGTCTCTGTGGCATGTCATCGTGGATTTCCTTGAGTGTCATAACTTTCTCTTACAGATATGAGTGCTCGGGCCTCTCTTTTGTCCATTTTCAGATTTGTTGCACACATTTTACATTTGTATGGGCTTCATCTTTACGGAAATTAAAACAGAAATCTGAAGTAGTTTTTCTAGTCATTATAAGAACTGGTAGTGTGTTGCCGCAGTAAAAAAAAGTTCAGCTATGGTTCTTCTTTCTGGATGAGGCTTAGAACTTTTTGAACGACCCTCATATATATATATATATATATATATATATATATATATATATATATATATATGTGTGTGTGTGTGTGTGTGTGTGTGTAAAGTAAAAGTGTACATTGAAGTCAACACTCAGAAGCAACAAAGTGTTTCATGCTAGACGCAATCGTCAGGCCGCCTGATGATTGCGTCTGGCATGAAACAGTCTGTCACCTCTGAGTGTTGACTTTAATGTTCACTTTATATTTACACACACTCTATCTCTGATATTGAGCACTTTATCCCATAAATATAGCACACGTTAAGAGTATGTTTCTTCATATATATATATATATATATATATATATATATATATATATATATACAGTGTAACCCGGATATAAGAGAGTTGTCGGGACCGGAGAAGAAGTCTCTTATATCCGGGTTTTTCTTATATCCGGGTTTGGTCTATTTTATATACATTAACACAGGCTATAATTTGGGACCAGAGAAAATCTCTCTTATATCCGGGTTTCTCTTATATCCAGGTCTCTTATATCCGGGTTACACTGTACAGTGTAACCCGGATGTAAGTGAGTTGTCGGGACCGGAGATAAGTCTCTTATATCCGGGTTTCTCTTATATCCGGGTTTGGTCTATTTTATATACATTAACACAGGCTATAATTTGGGACCAGAGAAAATCTCTCTTATATCCGGGTTTCTCTTATATCCGGGTCTCTTATATCCGGGTTACACTGTATATATATATATATATATATTTGGGAAGCAACCTTTTTTCCAAAGTCTCAGTTAAAACAGTATGGACCGAACCATAACTAATACCTATGGACTTAGCTATATACTAAAACGTCTGTCATCCAAAAGCATAAGGTGAGTGGCATCAACTTGCTCATCAGTATTTGAGGTTTTCGATTGACCTGAGCGAGGTCTTTTATGCTGTTTCTGTTCCACTTGAATATATACATTATCTTTCGTTAAATATAACAGAGATGAAACTTTAATTTATTTTTATTTAGTTTTCTCAGCGTTCTTATATTTCCCCGTTTGGTGAGAGTAAGTGAATGCAAAAATGTTCCATTATTCCAAGTACTTTCGTCCACTTCTTTTCTTTAGCCATTTTCAGGGTTTGTTTTATGTGTTGTTAATTTCTCTTCATGTTTTCATCGTTTCAGATGTATTTTTATTTACACTATTTACATTGTTCAGATTTTTGTCCTCGCCTTTGTTTCCATATTCAAAACGTTTCGGCCGTTGTACGCTCCGGCCATCATCAAGTGATTGGAATTTTGAACTGAACTCTTTATTTCGTCTATGGGGGTAAATTGTTCTATTTCCACGTGCTATTCCTCTTCCGGATCTCACAGTTATTTCCCTTTAACTCAACTCTCCAAGATTAGGTTTTCCACTGCAGTAGCCAGGTATTGAACTCACAACTTTTTGGCACAGGATCAAAATCAAGTCACTGGACCCAAATCAAGTCACTGGATCCAAATCAAGTCAATGATATATGAACTGGAGCTGCCCAGTCGCCACTTCCTATTTTCGATAATCCAAAAGCGTGTTGCTGCGGAAATAGAATAGAAAACATTTTTAAAAACATGTGACAAAATAAGAAAAAGCCAAAGATCGAAAAAAAGAAGAAGAAAGAATAATCCAGAAAGAAATAAACGGAAAAAGTGTCATATAAAAAAAAATGGAATTAAAAAATAAAAAGAGACAGCGAGAGATATAATCATCAATATGGCTGAAATGCACGAAAATGGATGGGATAAGACGAGACAAAGAAAATGGCGTAGAAGAATTATCAGCCCGCAATGAAAATGAAGTACCCTGCCACTTATAAGCGAATCGAATGAATAGTATGGGTGGTTCCGTGGTCGGATGGTTACGCTTGCAAACGTTGGGGAAAATCACAAGGAGAATTTTATAGATCTTCTATCGTCTCAGAATTAATATCTGTTCTGTGACACATGAAAGGTGCCATCTTGGCACTGAAGTCTCAATAGAGAGTCACACAATTGCGCCCTTTATTGTTTTCTTTTTCTCACACAAACGCATCTGCCGCTTCCTCTCTTTATCTAGCGCTATTACCAGTGCTCTCTCTCTCTCTCACACACACTTCCTCTCTCTCTCTCTCTCACTCTCTCTCTAGCGCTATCTCCCTCTCTGTTTTTTTCTTTCTCTTCTTTCTCCAACGTATAAACACGTCGCTCCTCACCTACTTTTCTCACGCGAGCCCACCCGCTGCTCTCTCTCTCTCTCTCTCTCTCTCTCTCTCTCTAGCGCTATCTCCCTCTCTTTTTTTTTCTCTTCTTTCTCCAACGTATAAACACGTCGCTCCTCACCTACTTTTTCTCACGCGAGCCCACCCGCTGCTCTCTCTCTCTCTCTCTCTCTCTCTAGCGCTATCTCCCCTCTGTTTTTTTCTTTCTCTTCTTTCTCCAACGTATAAACACGTCGCTCCTCACCTACTTTTCTCACGCGAGCCCACCCGCTCTCTCTCTCTCTCTCTCTCTCTCTCTCTCTCGTTGTCTTTTGTCTCACTTTTTATCTTTCGGACTTACTTTCTTTCACTCTCATTCTTACTTTCTCAGTCTGTCTTCCTCATTCTCCCACCATCTCTCGTTTTCTCTCTTTTCTGTCTCCTATCCTAAGCAAATCTTGTTTTTTTTTTCTTTTCGCAAACGCGAACTTCGCTACTAACATAAAATAATTAACCTCTATCATATTACATCATATTACATATTTTCTTATAGTTATTCAGTAAACTTACCTTAACTTGACACAAGGTCATGAATATAAGGTACCTAATGAGAATCGAACTCAATAGCATTCAGTGTTAGATAACTATAAGGCCAACACTACAGCAATGTGCTACCTTGCGTATAAGATGGGGAATCGCATATGTTACACTGTTTACTGCAACTGAGTTGGTCTGATCAATATATTTTCTTCTATTTCTTTGCTATTTACAAATCATGGACATTTTATGAGTTATTTAGTGAATATTAGCTGAAATTAGTAATGATTACATGTTTCCTGCTGTCCTGTGGCATGCTGACAGGAAATCCATCTTACAGGTATCAGTAAGAGGGGGGTATGCTTAGGGAGCTGGGGATTAGGGACCTGACTCTACGCCTCTGATGTACGTGATTTCTCTCGATTAAACTGGGTTACTGAAGACGCTTTTATTCCATTTTCAGTTCACCCATTTTAAAATTATAGTTATTGCCTTAAATGTTGATTTAGCCTGAAACTCAATAACTAGAACCATCAACTATTTACATTATTCGGACTAGTGTCCTCATGTTTACTGCCATATTTATCACAACGTTTCGGCCGTTGTACGCTACGGCCTTCTTCAGGTAGTTAGAATGTAGAACTGAATCCTTTATTTCGCTCGCTGGCGTAGACTGTTCTAGTTCCACGTGCCATGTCTTAAGGATGTCAGTTATCAATTATCTCCTGTTAATTCCCCTCTCCACGTTCTCCACTGCCTTAACCGGGTATTGAATTCACACTCTTTGGGTCCTGTCACTGGATCTAACCAACGCCTTTATCCACTGTGCCATGTGCCCTTAAGGACCTGGTACGTGGAACTAGAACAGTCTGTCGCAGCGAGCGAAATAAAGAGTTCAGTTCGACATTCCATCCACCTGAAGAAGGCCGGAGCGTACAGCGGCCGAAACGTTGTGATACATATGGCAACAAAGATGAGGGCAATAGTTCGAATAATTGTAAATAGTGTACATAATATCTCATCTCAGAAATATAGACCGATACTGTAGAAGCACCAATATTTGTTTTTGTTTTTGTTGTTTTTTTGTTTTGTTTTGTTTTGTTTTTTGTTTTTTCAAATTCTAATTATTGGTCTGACATCAAGATCATTTCTTTCTTTTTTTCAATGTTTTGCTTTTATTTTTGTTTTGTTATGCATCACTTCATAGGTGACGGACTAAATTTAGAGTTTAGTATTAAGAGGATTTTCAACAGCGCGATCTTAAAATGTATCTAGCGATTATGATACTCGACAGCTTTCTTTAATTTATTATCTGTGAATTAAGACGCATTCTTGTGAAAGATAAGGGATTGGTAAGCCTTTGTCTTCTTCACGGTTTGGAAGTCAAAGTTTTCCTTCTCTCTTAGACTTGTTACCATCCAAGGCTAGAGTACCCAGTCTACACTGCTATTTAACCCATAGCTAGAAGAGAAAAGATAAAATCACGCTTATCCCAAGGACAGAGAACGCAGTTCGACAATTATATTTTCTGAGTTTCCTTTTTCGTTGTTGGCAGGTGAAAATTAAACAAAAAACTGTGTTTTTAATCCCGCGTTTGTTCGGATGGGCCATTTTGATGTTTAGCATTAAGCGATTTCCTGAAGATGAAGTTGATTGCAAAAGCAAGTAACATCATAACTGAGATAGCCTTGTTTGTTTTATTAAACATTAAAGAAATTGACAAAAATGGTGATAATGTAAAGACAAAAGATAGATAGATAGATAGATAGATAGATAGATAGATAGATAGATAGATTGACCGAAAATGATGATAAGGTAAGGACAAAAAAGATAGATATATAGGGAGATAGATAATGAAAAGACACTAAAATAGACAGATAGATAGATAACGAATAAACCGAGATAGATAGATAGATAGATAGATAGATAGATAGATAGATAACGAATAAACCGAAATAGATAGATAGATAGATAGATTTATAAAATTTATATAAAGAAAAAACTGATAAATAGATGATCTTTCTGGCGATTACTTAAGACGTGAAACTGACAGACATCATGCAACGTTGCGTTCTATAACCGCCCTATATATATGCACACACACATATATATATATATATATATATATATATATATATATATATATATATATATATATATATATACCTGATGTAATGAGAAGGAAAATAATATATAAATTCTAACGTTCACAGCATTAATTCAAAAGAGGACTCAATACCGATAGTAAAGCAATAATTATTTATTATATTTTTTTCATATAGACAAAAACAATTTACTCACTACAAAGATGCAACTTCGTTTCGATGTATTTATTTGCACCTCGACTGGCGAAAGCCAAAATGGTTCTCACCAGTCGAGGTGCAATTGAAATGCGACGAAACGAAGTTGTATTTTGTAGTGAGTAAACTGTTTTTGTCCATATGAAAAAATTATAATATATATATATATATATATATATATATATATATATATGTGTGTGTGTGTGTGTGTGTGTGTGCGCGTGTTAGTATGATATAGAAACTGAAAAGTAATGAGACTGAGACAGTTGACAAAATTTTGTTGACAATGCGTTTCGCCTTCGTTAGGTAGTTAGGTAGAAGTCTTCAAGTCAGAATGGTGACTTTTACAAGCATTGCTCAAATATGGCACAAGGCCGAATGTGTGGACCACACCAAAAAATGACTTTCTAAGCGTGGCTTATAATAAGCACAAGGCCAAATGTATATGGGCACTAAGTGAGGATTGAACTCACTGTTCAGTCGGAATTGTTTTTGCGAAATGTTTGCTAACCATTACACCACGTCGAGGTGCCCTCTTCAACTCAGAATGAAAGGAAACTCGATTTGCCTTTCATTTTAACTTGAAGACATCTATCTAGCGAACGCTAAACGCATTGTCAGTAAAAAGATTTTTCACTATCTCATATATATATATATATATATATATATATATATATACTAGCAGTATGGCACGGCGTTGCCCGTCCTTGATTCAAAAATTGTACGACTCATACAGCAATCGCTATCACTTGATTTAAAATATTTTTGCCCTTCCTTGCCTTTAAAGGAGTGCTCTTTGCCGTTCTGATGTTGCTACATGCCTTACTTCTTGCCTATCTCACACTGAGAATTTTTCTAAGCTCTATACTAAACATTAAATCTGTTACGAAAAAAGAACTAAAGAAAGTGAACACAAAACGATCAGCTTTAAAAAAGGACTCGTAACTGGAAAAGCCGAATGAAAAAAGAATGTTAACAACAAATACTTTTTCACACCCAACCCAGTTCTGCGAAATCAGAATCAACGTTGTTTAAGCAAGCGAATGAGCCAATTGGATTAAAGTGCGATGCAGATTTAAATTTTTCCCACTTGTGACGAATGCAGCTATCGATTTTTTTTTTTGCATGCTAGCATGCTAGTTAACATTTGTGTCAGTCAGCTGTTGGCTCTCACGCTGGCCAATAGAATCTTCCTGCCTATTTGTGGCAGCCAGCTATAGGCTCTCACTCTGTCCAGTAGAAAATGGCCGCAAACTACATGAAAACTGGCATAGAAACATGAAAAAATCGATTATTTCCACTATCGATGATAGTTGGGAAATGCAAAGTCGGTCTTGGCCTTGCCGCTAACTTGGAGCATGTGCATGTAAATTTTGGTGCAAATCCGTCGAAAATTGCGGCCGTGCATTCGTTATACACACACACAGACACACACATCCTGCCTCATATATATATATATATATATATATATATATATATATATATATATATATATGCAGAGTGCGGTGGGTAATTATCGATATTTCATATTTTTAATTTCATGCAAGTGCGTTGGTAGTTGTTGATTTTATCGACTTCAGTATAGTAGGGCGAGTTGGGCACAGTTTGTGAGAAAAAGAGCACCATGATGCAATTCACTCCGCCAGAAATTTGGAAACGGCATGCTGTACTGCTTGGCATTCGCGCCGGAAGATGCAATACGAACAACTCAGAGTGTTTGAGTGTCAAACTGAGGACAGTGCACAAGATTCGAAAAGAGTTGGATGAAGCTAATGGCGATTACTAAGGTGTTTGGAGTGATCACGAGTGATGGTGACGTTATGGCTCCATTCATCTTTCTACAGGGCCTCAGACTCAACACGTAGGCCTACATCAAGTGCCATGAGGAGGTAGTGCTACCCTGAGTCAAGAGGACTCTGCACCATGCTGTTGTGTTTCATGGTGCAGAACCCTGTTATGGCTGCCAGTCAATTTCTACAACCACCCCACCCCTTACTTCTGGCCAACTGACTCCCCAAACTGCAACCCCCTTGATTATTATGTGTGGGGCGTAGTTGAGTGAAAGACCAACAAAACTCCTTGTAACACCAAAGATGAACTGAAGGCAAGGGTTATAGCAGCATTCACCAACTTCCACAAGGAGACCGTCCAGAAGAGTTGCAGGAGATTCCGAAATCGTCTGGAAGCCGTGATTGAAGCCAATGGAGATTTTATTGAATAAGTTTGCTCTTCAGTACTTCAAGATATTTTTTGTAATTTTGAGAAATATATCTGTTAAAATGACATGTCAGTGTTATTTTCATTTTTGTGTAATTTAGACGACAATTTATACATCGCACCCTGGATATATATATATATATATAAGCAAATATATGGATATAGATCCGACAGTATCTTCATATATATATATATATATATATATATATAGCCTTAAGATTGGATGAAAAAGCCTGTCGACACTTGGTGTTCATCTCAGTATATTTTTATATCCACTCTGATATTGAGTTTTTTTGTCCATAAATATTGCTTACCTTAAAACTATATTCTTATCACATACATATATATATATATATGGTGGTTGTTTTATTTTAAAGTATCTTGTATGTGGTGCTTAGCAGCAATTGCTAGTTATACTAGCCACGCTAACCCAAGCCGCTGTATATATATATATATATATATATATATATATATATATTGTCATCCACAGACAGACTGTTTCGCTGTATCAAAGCTCATCAGTGTGGCTAGACATCCGGTTGCCTCTAGCTAGGATCGAAACTTGACTGAATTGGCGTCAGTCGAAGATTCTACCACTAAGCCGTTAGCCCACGGCAGAGATGCAGGTGAATTTAAGCGTATATGGATAAACACACAGTGACTGAGAGAACTCAATTCGATTTACCGAAGGGTCTTGCATTATTAGCCGTAATAGTAACTGTTTACAAACTCACACTTCCTCCTCAACCGAAATAAATTTTTCAGGCGCATATATATATTGTGTGTGTGTGTGTAAGAGGTAAGGAGCTTATTTATCATTAATAATCGTGATTGAAAAAGAAAAAGATTACACAAAGACTGAATACTCAGACATCCAAATACACCCCCGTTTATATATATATATATATATATATAGTGATTTCCCAAGCGTAGCTGTGTCAGAAGGCCGAAATTAGAGGATCGAACTCACTACTCAGTCATAAATGTTCTAGTCAGCTAAGCTTGCTAATCATTACACCACCACGAGGTGCCCAATGCATATGTGAATATCTATGAACAAATTGATATATACGTGTGGGTGTGAGTGTATGTGTTTGACCATGTGTGTGCGTGCGTGTCTGTGTGTGTGTTTGTTCATGTGTCTGTGCGTGCTTGTGCATGTGTGTGTGTGCGTGTGTGTGTGTGTGTGTGTGCTAACAAACTGAATACATGTACGTATATATATATATATATATATATATATATATGAACAAATTGGTAAATAGATAGATAGATAGATAGATAGATGGATAGATAGATAGATAGATGCACGCATGAACATATATTTTTCTCTTTGACTTATCATTAAACCGGAAATGAAGTGACTGATGCTGGATTTGTCGCAAAAGTCTTTGTGCCGTCACTTTCGGAAATCAAAATCAAAGTCAAAAAGAAAGGATTCTTTTCTTCTCTGGCGAATCTACGGTGCCAGGACGTCCCAGAATTCAAGTCTCAAATCAATGTGGAGCTAACCAGAAGTCGAAAATATTTTTAACATTCTGCTTTGGCAATTTGCGGCAGGTGTTTTCGGGAATTAAGTGGAAATTTTTAAAAATCAGGAAGAAAAACCAAGTTGGTATCTCTTATCTAAAATACGAGTTTTATCTACTTTTAATATTTCTTTGTAGTCACCATTTATAACTTGGCGTTTATACAGCATTCGTTTGCAAGTGTTTAAATATATAATTACACGTCTTATATATCCATGCGAACATGTCTATTTTATCCATATATTATTATTTTTTTTAATCATTCTACCCCAAGCAAGGCAACAAAGCCACTAACGTATAGGAGCTTACTGAGTGTAAAAGAATACAAGAAAAATATTATTAAGGAGCGAGAACAATAAAAATTAAGTAGCCAGACGATAACGATTGACATTACATTTAAATTTTTCAAGATCAAACTTATCTGGAAAACAATAAGCCGGAAGTGGCTTTCACAAGCGAGAAGTGAGAGAAAAAACTTACTATAGAACTTACGGTTACATCTAGCCATTTCACCTGTAAAATGACGAGATCTTGTCGACTATCTAGTCACATAAATTTATAAAATCTAGGTACCATAGAGGAGAGTTCATCGGAATAAATCATTTATAGAAAAGGTACAGGGAAGCTACATTACGTCTGTCTATAGTGACTAAAACCGAAATGTTACGTCAAGACTAATAAAATTGCAGATTCTTCTTTGGATTTTATTAAGGGTCTCTCAGTATATAGCAGGAGTACCTGACATTGTGACAGCAGTATCCTAAGTATGGATGAATGGTAAACGTGTAAATATGTAAGATAGATTCTGGTGAGAAAAATTATCTGGCATGACGCAGGGAACCACCTTTTTTTTTTGTTCGCAGCAGACCTAGCAATCAATTTGGCATAAACTTTACCCGTCATGTCAGTGGACTACGAGAAGGCGCAATGAGTCACTTTCCTGGTGGTTAGCATTAGCCATACTGTTGGAAGGCAGAAAGTGTTCTCGCAAACGTTTAATAGAGGACAGTTTCATTTTTGGGGACGTTAAAGTTAACAAGTCATTCCTTGCCCCACTTAACAATAGAAAGTAAGTCAATTTTTAGATCTGCTGTTAATTTGACCATATCGAACCGAACCATCTGACTTATTATTATTATTATTATTATTATTATTATTAACTTTGTGTGCGAAATGGCTTCGTCAAAAATTGATTGAAAAAGAATTTCTTTGTGTAGTGATTACGAGAAATGGTTTCGAAATTATTATTACTATTATTAGTAGTAGTATTTTTAGTGTATTTTATATTTTTATTAGTATAATTATTATTATTATTATCTTTATTATTTATTATCTTTATTATCAAATATGGAAATGGTAAATAATTTGAGAAATGCACAAATCAATCAGTCTGTTTATATTCTACCAATGTTGTTAGCAATACGTATATAAAACAATAATAATTATATATATATATATATATATATATATATATATATATAAAAGAAAGAACAATAAGATATATGATCCGGTGTTCTTATAGATATTTTTATTTTTACAAAATAGTGCTCAATGTAAATTTACAGAGCATTAATATTATAAATTAATTGATTTAAAATAGGTTTTTTTTTTCTGCTACACAGTTCTGTTTCAAAAATGGAAGCTAAAAGCCCCGAATTTAATTTTGTAATTAAATTAAAGACATTCATCCTCAAGCGAAAAATTCGCTTGAGGATGAAATGGAACTAATGTCTTTAATTTAATTACAAAATTAAATTCGGGGCTTTTAGCTTCCATTTTTGAAACATGGTTAGAACTGTGTAGCGGAAAAAACCCTATTTTAAATCAATTAATTTATAATATATATATATATATATATACACACACACACACACACATATATATATATATATATATATATATATATATTATCATAATAATAATAATAATCTTATAAATATCTTTCGTAAATGTGTGCGTGCGTGCGTGTCTGGCCTTGCCGCTAACTTGGAGCATGTGCATGTAAATTTTGGTGCAAATCCGTCGAAAATTGCGGCCGTGAATTCGTTACACACACACACACACACACACACACATCCTGCCTCATATATATGCACTCAAGGCTGATAGATGTGATACACATTGTTTAAAATAAAAACGGTATATTCACTAAAAATAACGTTTGCAGTAATAAAAACAGATAGATAGATAGACAGATAGATAGATAGACAGAATAACATGTTGAAATAGATAGATAGATAGATAGATAGATAGATAGATAGATAGATAGATAGAATAACATGTTGAGATAGATAGATAGATAGATAGATAGATAGATAGATAGATAGATAGAAGAACATGTTGAGATAGATAGATAGATAGATAAATAGATAGATAGATAGATAGATAGATAAGTATACTCGTCCGGAAAGATCTTCGGTATCTTGGCTTGTAAATGAAGAAACCAATACCCCAGGAAAAATAAGGAATAAAAAAAGAAAGAACTAAGAACATGCAGTTCAGGCGAAAACAATCGACCAGAATCCAAGGTCAGAGTCCAAAGAAAAAAAAAACCCCGACAAGAGTAAAGACAAATAAGTAAGCAAAGTACTCAATACACTAAGTAGAACAAAACAGACTACGAACCTAAAAAGCCAGACAAACTCTTTCTTTTATTTATATATATATATATATATATATATATATATATATATATACTGTCACCCACAGACAGACTGTTTTGGCTGTATCACAACTCACCAGTGTGACTAGCCGTCCGGTTGTCTCTAGCTAAGACTGAAACCCGGATGAATTGGCGTCAATCGGAGAATCTACACCTAAGCCGATGGCGCACGACAGGGATGAAGGTGAATTTAAGCGTATTTATTTTTAGATAAACACGCCAGTGACTGAGAGAACTAAATTCGTTTCATCGAATAGTCATCATTTACAAACTCACACTTCACATGCATATATATATATATATATATATTAAGAAATGTCCGACAATTTATTTTATTAAAGACATTTTTATGTTTAACGTTCTTTTTTTATAGATACAAGTATTTAAGTAAATGCTCTGTTTATAATAAGCAATATTAAATAACATTTACCGGCCTGAATGTCCGAGAAATTTTCATCGAAAATATTCGTCCTTTGACAGGATTCGAACCTGCATCCTTTCCGGAACCGTCATTTTACGCTGACGTGCCTTGACCGCTCGGCCACAAAGGAGCGTTCGGTAGGCAAGGTCGAAGTTTATAAGCAGTAAATTCGTCAGCGTAAAATGACGGTTCCGTATAGGATGCAGGTTCGAATCCTGTCAAAGGACGAATATTTTCTATGAAAATTTCTCGGACATTCAGGCCGGTAAATGTTATTTAATATTGCTTATTATAAACAGAGCATTTACTTAAATACTTGTATCTATAAAAAGAATGTTAAACATAAAAATGTCTTTAATAAATATATATATATGTGTGTGTGTGTGTGTAATTTATCACTTTAAGTGTTATTTGTAATGGAAGCTAACATTTGAGTAGTGGCACTGTTTATTTTCTAAAACAGTGTATTTATTGATTTTCGTCTACAGGTGTGAATGATCGAGAAAAATATGCTCCCTCCGACAGGACTCGTCCCCATTTGTAGGAAAACCCGTTATTAGATTAGACGTGCTTTAGAACGACTCATTTTCTATGCGCTTTGACCGTCAAAAGTACGTCGGATATAACGTCGGTTTCCTTTGCCAATGAGGGAAGGGGTACAGGTTCGAATCCTGCCGGAGAGCGCATGTTTTCTTTAATAAAAAAAAAAATGTCTCGAATATGCATGTGGCATGACGATTGCGTATAGGCATAAAACAGACTGCCGCTGAATTTTCTCCCGCCCCTCTTTACTTCTTTCTTTCTCGCCTTTACCAGCGGTATAATTATGTATAGAAGAGTTTCTCGGGTGGAAATCACCAATTTTACTGCCTGACGATACCAAATCGGTAGAAACCGCGGTAAAAGGAAGGTTGTTTTCTAAATAGTTTATATCTTAAATTACTCTACATCTTCGTTTTTTTTTTAATTATATTGAGTGTTTTTTCATTAATTTAACAAATTTTGACAAATAATTTAATTTGTCAAACGTTTGAGTTTTAATTGAATTACACCCCCCACACACACACACACACACACACATATATATATATATATATATATATATATATATATATATATATATATATATATATATATATATATATATAGGATTGGTATATATGGAATAAAGTCCAATAAAGTCCAATAATATTTAACACCAACATGTGATAAGACACCAGAAGTGTTGAAACAAAATGGCTATTTTAGTGATCTTATAACATATTTGTTATATTAGGTTGGTGCAAAAAATAATGACGTAATAAAGTCATTTTTGACGTACTTTTGTACGTTAAAAACGACATTCTTACGTCATTATTTTTGCATTAATTTTCGGATAAATGATATATATATATATATATATATATATATATATATATATATATATATATATATATATATATATATATGAAAAATTAATGGATTTTTTAATCCAATATTTTAATACTTCAAACATTATTTTTAGTGGATAACTGTATTTGAAATTGCTTATTACACCTGTCCACCTGCGCACTCAAGGCTGATAGATGTGATACACATTGTTTAAAGTAAAAACGGTATATTCACTAAAAATAAACGTTTTCAGTAATAAAAACAGATAGATAGATAGATAGATAGATAGATAGATAGATAGATAGATAGATAGATATAATAACATGTTGAAAGATAGATAGATAGATAGATAGATAGATAGATAGATAGATAGATAGATAGATAGATATAATAACATGTTGAAACATAGATAGATAGATAGATAGATAGATAGATAGATAGATAGATAGATAGATAGATAGATAGATAGATAGATCAGTATACCGCAAGTAACGAGACGCCAAACAAATTTGGAAATCAAGGAAAATCAGTAAACTAGAATTCAGCAATGCACCCATTAATACTTAGTCGACGTTCCCTTAGCGTCCTTGAATGCTTTCACTCTGTCAGGCAGAGAAGAGACAAGATCTGTAATCTTCGACGAAGGAATTTCTGGTTGAACGCAGGACTTAATCCAATTCGTCACGGGAAACAGGTTTAACTCGTTTCTTGTGCAGTTATCCGTCTGATAATCCCCATAAATATGTCCAATAGGGCCCATGTTCAGTAAATGTCTTGCCCATGGTAAGACTCGAACGCTGTTCTGCTTCTGCGACGCTCTAGTTATTTTTTCAGCATAACATGGCGCACCATTTTGAAGTAATTCCTGAAGTAGCGAAAGCATATCTGAGGGCATTAATGTTACCAGTACATTCTTAAGGTCTAACGACCAGTTCTCCAAATCGCTCACCAGATCATCACACAAACACCGCCATGTTTGACAATTCGTTGCAATTGGTTGTCGGTAAACTCTGGACTGGGTTTTCTCCAGACTCGGATACGTTCACTGGTAAAGAATTGAGCAAAAGAGGATTTTGCCGAAAAGATTATACTTCGGACTCTTCTTGGACATTCTATTAGCCAATTGCTGATTGTCATTCTGGATAAGAGTCTCTATTTTCTAATCTGCTACTTATCCCAGTCAGTTGACAAAATACGGTT